TTTATAAGCTTATGATTATCTGTAAAAATAACAGTGAGTGATTACGAGCATAACTCAAAGGATTATACGGATATGATGATAATCATCTTCATAAATTTTATTAAATACTTCAGTTAGAATAAATTGCTATAAAACTGAATGATTACATAATAACCAATAGAGCAATTTAGAGTTTTTGTTAAATGGTCACATATTAACAGCAGTTACTTAAGGATAAAGAGACAAATATAAATAGGAATTATAAATGAAGGAATGTTGAATGTATGTAGTTGACTTAAAGTATGCAAAGTTGATGATTACTCAACAAACTCATTATTGACACTGTGTTCTTAAATAATAAGATGTCAAAAAATTAAAAAAATGTTTAGCAAATGAAATTTTCTATCAAAGTGACCCATTCATATAAAATACAAAAATAAATACCATCGAATATTTTTGAAAATATAGATTTTTTTATAATTTTCAGTAAGGAAGATAGGCGAAAGAAATAAAATGACAAGCATTCAATCAATTTGTAAACGTTCCTCAACTAGTTACAATCTAAGAACGACAGATTTAATTACTTCAACCAAGTTTCACTTCCTAAAATATCTACATACTTATCTAAACAAGTAATCTGTCGTCTCATCCTACTTTATATCTGCATTGATACTAATCTTGATTTAAAAAATTGTGTACATCCTTTCTACGAACAACTGATACTATTGTTCCAGTTGTGAGAAAACAAGGACAATATGCGAATCAAATAGAATCATATCATTTTACTATGAATGCCATTTGTATCTTACTTAAAAGTAACTAGTTGTGGAGTGAGTGTTTTTAGTCACTCATCACTCCACAAAACTAAAACCTGACTACCAAGCTACCTTCTAGCTCACATATCATTAGAAACATGACAGACGAAACCAGATCAGATAAATGAGTGGTTATCTATAAATCAATATATAGTTTACGTAAAAGTTTACAGCTCAAGCCGCGATCTCACTTTTCGTCAAATCAAATTTATGCAGTCAAAAAATATGCAACCATCAGTTTGACATTAGCTTACGCCTAATACTTTATTTAATAGAATAAGGCAATTTACAAATAACGTTCTAATTCCAGTTTCAAATAAGGATTTCACTTAACTGTTAGGTAACTATTGGTAGCGTATATCTTATATTTATGTCGCGCAATTTGCTGATTATAGTAACCAATGATACCGATAAATGCTTCATGACATCTTCAGATATGTTTCCGAGATGTAGTAACATCAGAGAATCAATATGGATTTGAAAGAGCATTTAATAAATTTGTTAATTTAAACATTTTCTTCGCAGAGTCATGTCTAGAGGAATAAATTAGGTTAAATTACCGTTAGAATTACGTTCATGAGGAAGTTAAGGAGACATGGAACCCACCAAAGAAATCTCTATTCTACCCCATAAACCAGATTAAGGTAATTTTTATACAGAAGTGTTTGGTTGTATAATCATAAGAACGCAATAATACCTCAATGATATAAATTATTCAAGTGAAAACAAAACTAAAACGACGGAGAATAACAAGACCATACGCTTGAAGATAAATGGATTTGATAACACATATTTCCCAATTCTTTAGTTATAAAATGAGAAATTCCGAGCTTAGGCGTACGTATTCAGTGAAAATAGTAAATATCTTATAAAACGTCTATGTCCGGGACGCACTACGCATGCCTACTCACTACTTACAGCGACCCACGATAGTAACGAGGTAAGGAAATAATAGAAAGAAGCCTACGGATCGACTGAACGAGATAATGGAAACAGTCTACGAATGTATTGATTCATAAATAATGGTCGGGGAACTTAAGTGGTAATGCTCAAAACTGGTCGCATTAACATAGGTCTACTCAGCCTTCATTTTTTCAACTTTTCAGTTTTAATATGGTTTTATAACATTCACTCAGTCATCAGTAAGCAACAACATAGAACTTCGTACGTACATACATCAATTCGAGTTGCCACACCACATTAGCACAGAGATGCAGTGGTCGATTCAAATCCCGTAGTGCTAGGTGTAGTAAAATTATAAGCTGTAATCAGAAAAATTAGTGTTTGAAGATGCTATTCAAGGACTATAAGCCAGTGAAATAAATTTGGAAAGAGAAAAAAAGAAAGGGACATGAAGAAATCAGAAGATTAGAATTTGGGAGAACACAAACAGTGGATGAACCTGTGCCATTGCGAACGATTTTGAGCCATGTCATTCAAGGTCTCTAACCATCGATTGCTTTCATCTCGTGGTCCCCAACCAGGTAGTCTACGCCTACCAACATGGCTCAGTCCACTTGTCAGTGACTTCAAGAACTTGTGCCATGTTTTGGTCTGGCCGCCCCTAGCTTTCTTCCAACCTACTCCTATACCACTGAACATCGCACGTCGAGGCAGTCGGTGGTTGGGCATACGTAACGTGTCCCAGCATTTCAACTGATGAAGTTTCATCACTTCATCAACTGATTTGCCATCCTTACCTAGTACCCGTTTCCTAACAACTGTGTTACTTACTCGATGGTCCCAGGATATACGAGCAATGTTTCGAAGACACCTATGATCAAATACTAGTAACCTACGAATATCCTTTACTCTTACCGGCCATGTTTCACTGCCATAAAGTAGGATGGAACGAACAGCTGCACAGTAAACACGTCCTTTGGTTGGTAAACCGATATCTCGCCTACGCCATAAATAACGCAAGTTGGCAAAAGCTAGTCGAGCTTTCTGTATCCGTGTTGAGATTTCGTCACACACCAGACCACAAGGGCTGATGAGACTTCCAAGATAAGTGAAGCGATCGACACGCTCAATTACTTCACTCCCTATCACTAGTTCGGGTGTCAATGCAACCCAATCCTGAAGCAACATTTTGCATTTCGAGGGGAAGAATCGCATCCCGAACATGCTTGCATTGTTGCTCAGAGTGGTCAGAAGACTCGGCATTTTGTCAGCGTCTTCACCAAATAAAACTATGTCATCAGCATATTCTAAGTCAACAAGTGAACCTCCCGGTACATGTTCAACCCCTGGAAATTTAGATGGGGAAAGTGTTATCTCAAAAAGTACATCGACGACAAAGTTGAACAAGAATGGGGAGAGTGGACAGCCCTGACGAACACCACTTGAGGTAATCAATTCTGATGACAGTTCGCCATAAGCTCTCACTCGACAACTTGTGTTCGAGTAGAGAGCCTTCATAAGGTTAATGTACTTCTTTGGTACTCCTTTCAGTGACAAACACCGCCATAGAACCTCACGGTCAACAGAGTCGAATGCTGCCTTAAGGTCGAGAAATACTACTATTGTGGAGTGTCTGTGTTCTAGAACCTGACGTAGTGTGAATATTTGGTCTATGCAGCCACGTCCAGCCTGGTTTAATCTGTTCTGTTCTTCACGAGCTTTGGTTAGGTGTCGAAGTATTATTGAGGATAATATTTTAGACAAACTGATTCCTCCGTGATTGTCACAAGAGGACTCTTGCCCTTTCTTATAGACTGGCGCAATCAGTGATCTTACTCATAACTTCTCAACTGTATTTATTAAGCGAAATTTGTCAATTAAGTTGATATCTTTACAAACTTTGAGAACAAAAATTCGAAACATCATTACGAAATGCAATATGAATCATGATCATATTCTCTTCTTTTCTACTTTTAGTGTTCTCGGAAAGACGGGAAGCTGTAATTCAGAGTTTATCACACAGCCTTAGCTAAACATATTAGCGGAGAAAAGATCAGTAGTTAATTTAAAATTAATTACTCCTTAATGTTAATCACGTAGGTCATCGAGTTGACATTTACTTGTATGAACGAAGAAATCAAAATGATGAAGTCCCTGCCTTCCCGTCTGCTGTTCAAATCGAAGGTCTTAAAAAGAATAAATTTCACGACTTATGGAGACTGAGAAAATACAGTAACGTAAGTGGGGGGATTATCGTTGTTGAAGTTATAAGATAAAACACCAACCGAGCAACTTTACTAAACCACTGAACAAATTCCAGCGTTTGATGCTGACATTTCGATTTAAAAGACAATCTGGTATAAGAAGTGGACCCCACAACGAATGTCAGTTTGTAAACTCTACTTGAAAGTAACTGAATAAAAACACTAATTCAGAAACACTTTAGAACTTGAATATCTAACAACGTATAAATGAAAATGTAATCCTCAGGGAGAATAAAATGCAAAACAAGTTAAGAATGCATACGTATTAAACAAAAATGAATATGTAGATTACGGTGGATCCCCCACATGAGAGCATTTACGCAAGCCAACCAGAATTGAAATAAACCGAGAAAGAGATGAAGTTTAAGAATATTCAACTTTATTATACCACATGAAGGGATATATTTGGAAAAGAAGCATATTTTACAATCAAAATTGTAATAACACAAACAACTATAGTAACAGCTGATGAGTGAGGAAGGAAAAAGACAAACAATATTCTGGCACGGAGAAGTAAGGATAGTAGGCAATAAATGATGAAAATGAGAAGGCCAAAATGTCTTTTTACCGAACTTGGAGGGAAAATAAAGAAATCAAAACAGAATATACACAAGCTGCTGTTTCACCGAGAAAATGGGTAGTATTTAATGAGAATATGTTAATATGACCAAAATGCAAAAACTAAACACCTGATTACATTTTTTTGAAGATTTTTTTCGACATTAACAGCGTTTATGCATATGTTTAAACGGATTCTAAGACATTACAAAATATAAACTGAACTTCTTTGATAAGAATTGTTTTTATTGTGCTAAGTTGCAAACGTACTATGAGATAATGATTACAGTTTAAAAATATAACCGAAAAACAAAATGACGTTTGATATTCTGAAATAATGAATTGTCAAATAATAGTAGCAAAAATCATCATTTTATAATCCACTAATATTTATGATTTGAATAGTTACTAGCATACAAAGAACTAATAATTAATCACAGGCTTCTCTGAACCGAAACATTTATGACCAAAAACACTTTTTTCAGATTTTCGGTAATTTGGGTGTAGTTATGACGGGATTGGATTCAATTATATAACGACGTGCTTCTGCTTTATAATCGTACTGACAAGCATGAACCTCAGCGTAACGATGTACAGAACAGAAACTCCGATCACAACTACATGGAAAGAGATTAAAAAGAAGAAATCAGTTGTTTTATCTATCTCTTAAACAAGTATAAGTCTAATAAAATGACGAATATCCATACATGTTGGCGTTTAAACAGAATACACATACGCAGAAAATGAATCATCCAGGAGAGTCAAACAATATAAGTTACCTGGATGATTTTAATAACCGTAGATATGAAGTATATATTAAAAATGTTCGAAAACCTGTATTACAACAAGGTCAAATAAATTAAGTTTTGTACACACCTTAATAGTTTGGAATTTTCGGACGTTTTTAGATATAGTGATTTTACATATTATTTTGCCAGAATGACATTCATTCACAGACTATAAAAACAAACAATTCAGATGAAGATTTACAAAAAATTTAGGTTTAAAAATTTCCAACCTGATACTATACTGAATTGCGATTTTTTTTATCAATAAGGAACTCTATGCATACATGGCTGAGTACCATAAGGAAAGTATTATCTAAGAGTGAATGATAACTGCGTAGTCATACATATACTAATGTATAACTCAGTTATGGCGTAATCTTATTAATAGTGTAATGAACGAAGTCTTGCGTAGTAAACCAATTTATTGCATTACACACCATCATACACACCGTATTTGTAAGCAATGGAAGTACATTATAAACATTATTCAGTCATCTTTTTTGAATTGCCTCTCACAAACTTCATCGTCCTTTCATTCCTGTTTTTATTTAGATTGATTCATGTTTTTTTATCTTCTTTTCATTCTCCTCTTCTGTCCATAACAATTCTACTTTCAATTCCTGATATAACCTACTTTAATCTGTCCGTAATAACAATACACACCAAACTAGTACGTAAGCGTAAAAGAGCGATTCTCGGCAGATAAGGTATTAACTACATTTATTAAACTAGAATTCAACAGACATTATTAGCTATTCTCAAAAGTGTGAAGCACATTTATCTAATTATTTATTTGAACATACACATTCATACAAGGGGGCAACAAATACACATATGCCAGAGAGCAACAATGAGGTTGCGAAGACATAAAGAATGAAGAGTGGGTGTAACAAAAAGAAGAGCAACTATGAATATAAATTAGTTTGTAAGAGTGAAATAGTAATAATGGGAGAAGCAGTTCAATTAGGGAAAACATGACCAGAAAGAAGTCACGCTCATTTTTCTGAATAAAGTTTTTAAAAAAACGTTACAGCAGGATCGTCACTGGTTTCTATTCTGAGCCATGTCTGATAATATATCAAGATACTGTGTTGCATCATCTGTAGGACCCCAACTAGCGGGTCTTGAAGGACCAACAGAACCCAGTCCTGTTCAGCTTTCTTTCATACCACAACACCATGTCATGCACTGACCACCTCTCCGCTTCTTCCAACCAGTTCCAGAGTCGGCAAATAATAATGCCCGATGAGGAATCCTCTGGGACGACATTCGGAGAACATGTCCAAGTCACCGAAGTCCGTGTTTCAAGATGGTGACACCGATTGCATTATCGTCTCTGTGTCCGAACACACGATGCCGAACCTCTGCATTACTGACATGGTGTTGCCACTGAATGTCAGCAATCCTTCGGAGACAGCGATGATCGAACACAGAGAGTCGTCTAACGTCCTCAACTCGGAGAGGCCAGGTTTCACAAGCATAGAGCAAAACTGCTCTCACCGACGCGTTGTAGATCCGACCTTTTACAGCCAGGCTAACATCACGAACGCGCCAAAAATGGCCCAGATTAGCATAAGCCGCTCTGTCTTTGACTATACGTGAATTGATCTCAGCACTCACGCTACCACTAGCACTTATACAGCTACCTAGATACACGAACTTCTCGACTACGTCTATCTGCTCACCATCCAGGGTGAGTACAGGATTGGAATCCTGCCAGTCTTGTAGAAGTACTTTGCACTTCGAAGGTGCAAAGCACATACCATACCTGCGGACACTGATTGCCAACTGATTAAGTGCCGATTGCATGCCTTGGGCATTATCGCACAGTAAGACAATATCGTCCGCATACTCAAGGTCGAGAAGTCTTTCTCCAGGCAACAGATCCACACCACCATTACCTACATTCGTCAGAGCTGTTTCCGGAATGTCATCGATGGCAAAGTTGAAGAGGAATGGTGAGATTGGGCAACCCTGTCTAACCCCACTACTCGAATGGAACAATGGAGAAAGGTGGTTGTATGCCCTCACTCTGCCTGAGGTGTTTTTATATAGGGCTTTTAGTATGTTAATAAACTTCTCAGGCACACCCCTCTTCAATAGACAATCCCAGAGAACAGTCCTGTCCAACGAATCGAAGGCAGCCCTGATGTCAAGAAACACTACGATTGTTGACCTTTGATAAGTATGACGGTGTTCTAACACTTGGCGGAGGGTGAAGATATGATCAATACATCCTCGACCAGAACGAAACCCAGCCTGCTCCTCGCGAGTCAATCATTCTCGGGTTTTGAACAACCTACGAAGTATGACGGAAGCCAATAGCTTGGACGCAATCGTAAGTAGACTTATCCCCGTATAGTTGTTACAGGAACGACGTGAACCCTTTTTAAAGATAGGGACAACTATCGACTCATTCCATGACGTTGGCACACTCTCTAGTTCCCAAACCTTTGTAAACAACGTCGTCAATTCCTTAGTCAAAAAGTCACCACCATGTTTAAAAAGAGCCGGTGGTAATTCATCTGGGCCAGGTGGTTTGTAACGCTTCAAGAGTTGGAGTGAAACAAGATTTTCGAAGCGATTGATGGAGAGCGAATTCGCAGTAGTTCACTAGTCTTGAATACGGGTCTTGGAAATACAACAGACATCGCTGTTGCGACTTTCTAAAGATATAGTGAACCCTGTTTGTTGTCCGATCTGCATTAGTGCATGAACGATAAATGATGCCAGTTTCAATGGTATACGTGGTCTCAGAAGGACTGGTTCAGTATTCGTAGTCAGTGGTAGCTTTCAACTTTTGACCAGTCAGTGACTTGAGATCGTTTAGATAGGACAGATTTTTCACCATAGGCGAGCAGTTGTGTACGTTGAAAAATAAAATACCAATATGAGAATATAAGGGAGCAGATAAGTGACGTTATATAAAAAAACGAATGTTATCAAATTATTGTGAAGTGATTAGTCTGAATGAGAATTGAAGTAAGAATAATTTTTCCAATAGGATTCATCATTTGATGTGTGTGACGGCTGGGATACTGTCTGGGCATTCAAAACGAAGCAAGCTTTTGACCTAAAGGGCTGATCCACACAGCAATGGAGCAACGTTAAGAAGTGCAGTCGCATGGTAGACAGTGGCCAAAAAAAGGTTAATACACCATTTGCTCCCTGAGGACCCTGAAGCTCATGTGCAGCACTGGTTTGGAATCAGGTTTTCCCAACTCCCTTAGGTGGTTCCTTCGTAAATAATCTTCAAAAAAAAACAAAGTTTACTTAAGATCAAAATTGAAAGTTGTGATAATTGAGGATTCGCTGGGAAATATTATTTATACTATAAATATTTATCAACAATACTAATATGGTTGGATGATGTGCTACCAAGGTTAACGTAAGAATCAAATCAAATAAGATTTTTTGCTCCAGTTTACAGCTGTGTGTTATAAAGATGGAAGATAGAATGAGATGGGTACCAGTTCTATGTCTAGTGAACACAACTAAATCCATTCAAATCGAAGCAGTACAATAAAAAATAAAAGTGGATTATACCAAAATTAGTTTCATAAAAAGTCATAGGACAACAAAATGAACATACCGACATGTGTAGCTGTTTGTAATCCCTATCTTCCGCGAGCACATAGAACATCGTTTGCGTCTAATGGAATTAAGGGATGAAGGCAGGTGAGATGCTTCAATCAAAACGGTCGAAATATAGTGTGGAGAAGTGGGATTCAATAATTTTTCATCACAATCGTTTGGTTTGCTGAAATGGACAGGAGTATTCAGTCGACTTCCCCCTCTTAAAGGTAATCGTGGTGGAATAGTTGTGGCCAGGTGACCTAAATATTTAAAGGAATTCTAGATGTTAAAATTGGTTTGAAATTTCATCTTCATACTAAAACCTTGTAAATACTACAAACCATAAAATAAAACATCGATAAACCAATGTAGATTAGATAATTGAACAAACCATAGTTCCTTTGACCATTAATTTTAGCGAATATGTGGTTAGATCATTGTGCGTTCAGAGTTATAACTCACACAAAGCAAAATGTAGCTGATACCCAAGTAATTTACTTACTTACTTACGCCTGTTACTCCCAATAGAGCATAGGCCAGAAAATGGATAACAGATCATTTTGTGGGATTAGGAAATGTTTTCCATAGTTATGAATAGGGAGATATGGTCGACTTTTTTACAACACTCATCTTAAGGTTTTTCGGTTTCATGGGCATCATGGGAAAGCAGATTCCTAAACTTCGTGAAAGACAAAAAAATAACAATCTTGCACCACATGAGAAAGCACGCCGAAAACTGGATCCTTAGGATAAGTGTTTGCTTAGAAACACAAAAAAGAAAACAAATTATCACACAACAGTGAAATATCATGTGTTGCATATTTTTAGGGAGAATGAAGACTACTCAGAGAAGAGAATTTTCTTTTCGATGATATTACGCCCTTAAGTTGTATAATTGTATTTACATGTAATTTCTTACATTTAGTAGTCTATAGTAAGATGGAGAAGTGCTGCAAAATTATCGAAGATAGTAAAACTTGTCCAAGTGTCGGATGTAAGGGTTTGGAGAAATAAAGTGGTTGCATAGGTTAATAAAGTAATCAAGGATCATCAAGTATTGAATATAAGTCTATAAAAAGGAAGGTTTTTATTTCAGAGTAGATAAAGTTATCAAAATTTTTTCAAGTAATGAATGAAATGGGTTGTTGCATGATTTAGCAAAGCAATAAAATAAAGTTATATGACAGTTTTAGAGGTAATAGAAAACAAGAATTTATACATTGAATAAAAAATCAACCGTCTACTTTACAACGAAGAATGTAAAGAATCAGATAATAATTAGAACTTATAATCTATAAAATTAGGAGTGGTGCTAAGGCTGTTGAAGAATGAATGAGTGAACATAACTCTTTTGCATACAGTGGTCGATGAGTTGGGGACTGAATATTGACCTCTCATTTACGCCGTCAGTAAGAAGTGAATGACTGAAAAGTATTTCTCAAGGTATTCTCCCCCAAGTTTCTACCTTCTAGTCTAATAGTACATCACGATTAAATCTATTCTAGATTCAGCTTTGTTAACATCTGACTTTATAATCCAAGTTTCTTTAGCCAGTTTAAACAGTTATCTGATGCTAACGAACGCCACTTCCTCTTCCACCTCCACTTTTATTGACCATCACTTATCCCTATCATAACGTGGATATTAAGCTATTATCTCCTGCCAAGCTGAGTTTCCGAGTAGTCGTTAGTTTAGAAGAATCCTAAATTCATCGACTCTTTTCAATCTTCCGACTTAGGTCACTAGCAGATGTTACCGATATTTTTAAGGTCGAAATTTGTGACTAGCTATTTTAGGATGAACATTAATACACGGTTAACTAACTGCTTAATTGGTTTAACCTTGAGCATAACCCCTTCATCTTTAAACTGACTTCGAAGATCTTCTGCTGCGAACAGTTTTCAAATCTTCATGAAAAATTTCATTAACACCTAGGAAAATGACTTGCTCTACATAGGTCTTATACATATGAATATATATATATATATATATATATATATATATATATATATATATATGGTGCCATTTGGCGAAATACTAGGGCTTGTTACAAGACCGAGTTAGCAGCACGAAACTAGTCAAACAAGGATCCATGTTTCCTAGTACATATATTTTCTGGAAGAGTTTGTTATAAACACCAGTGTTATGGAGCACATACTACCAAAAAACCTTTTTTCCATGCTCGCTACAAAGTAGCATGCAAATGAAAGCGATTTTTGTCCCAGGACATAATTCCGAATGGTACGGCCGAGAGTGGAGTGAGTCCGCTCTCCCTCTCGAAATACTCTCACACGGCCGCGCGTATACAGCCTCTGCCAGGGAAGTCCTACTCATTGCCTTCTCGTGGCAAGGGTGTTGTTTACGAAAATGAGAGGACGAAAAGCGAATGTCCGGCCCTTTAACCGGATCACAAAGCAATGGTGCACGTGGGCTCCAGTATCCTGCGGGAACAAATGGCGTATGAACCAATCTTGGTCACCGGCTTCCATGGGAGTGGCCCCCTAAGAAAACCACCTGCTTCGGTTTGGGCACCCGGGCAGTATCACAGCCCACACACAAACGATGAACTCTATGTTTTTGGCAACTACTTTTACCGCTCCGAAAAACAATCAGTCGATTCAAATAATTATCATTACTATTATTGTCATTATTAATACTATTATGATTACTATTATTGTCGTTATTATTATTATTATGATTACTTTTATTATTATTATTATTATTATTATTATTATTATTATTATTATTATTATTATTATTTTCCACATTATTCACCCTCTTTTATACTTATACAGCGGCTCGTCTTTGGTGGAAATCCGACTGTATCTAAACGTTCTCGAGTCACTGTCCGGTTGAAAGTTGTATGTTACCATCGAATATGAGTACTGAAGCAGTTTTCCTGAAACCACGTGCGCCATTCAAACTGGCTGCCTTCAACGTTCGAAAACTTATGCAGGTTGGTCAACAGATAGGGCTGGCTATGTCTTTGGAAAGTCTTAATATTGATGTCTGTTGTCTATCCGAGACCCGTATTCAAGACTCTGGCGAAGTATTATAAATTCGATCTCCATCTGTCGCTTCAAAAAGCTTGTTTTACGTGCGCTTATCCGGGGACCCTGTGGCATCTTCGTCTGGTCTTGCTGGCGTTGGTGTTGCACTAAGCGCTAAAGCTGAGGCAGCACTAATCGATTGGATCCCCACTAACAGTCGGTTATGTGCTGTTAGATTAGAAAGTTCCATCAAAGTGAGAAGAATTCGGCGTGAGAAACGATGTCTTTTCGTCATCTTCGCCTATGCCCCGACAGATTGCAGCCCGGATGCAATCAAGGATGAGTTTTACCACCAGTTATCTGTTCTTCTCCAGAAAGTGCGTTCGATAGATATTGTAGTACTAGCCGGAGACTTGAATGCTCAGGTCGGGCGTCTAGGCACAGAAGAGAGTCGTTTAGGTGGCCGATGGGGACTTGTTGGTCGCAGGTCAGATAACGGGGACCGTCTACTGCAACTGTGCACAGACCACAACCTGTTTCTGGCTAGCACTAACTTTCGGCACAGTCATCGCCGATGTGCCACCTGGCGTCCTCCCTCTGCATCCCAAGCCTGGACTCAGATTGATCACATCGCGATCAGCTACCGCTGGCGTGGTTGTGTAAAAGACTGCCACTCCTTTTGGAGTACCTATCTGGACTCTGACCATGCCTTGGTCTGCGCCAATCTTGCCTTACTTTTCAGTGGCCAACGAAGTGACCACCACCAAAAGATTGGTGTCAGCAAGCTGGTTGCAACTTCCGTTGCAAATAAGTATCGAACCGAGCTAGCCTCTAGGCTAGCTACCACTCCACCGAAAAGTATAGATCAGCATTGGTTGCAATTGCATGACGCCATGAAAATGGCGGGAACAGTCAGTTGTGGGTTTGCGAAACGTCCCGCTTTTAAGCACTGGGTTTCTTCTGGTTCCTTACAACTCATTGAAGCCCGTCGGTTTACTCCGGGTAACCGTGAGTTTGACCATAAACGAAGGATGTTATGTAAGGGAATTGGGCGAAGCTTGCGTAAGGACCGAGAAGCCTGGTGGTCGAAGCGTGCTAATGAGCTGGAAGCAGCAGCTGCATCTGGTAATTACCGGAAGCTCTTCCAGCTCATCCGAGCCTCTGGCAGCAAGACGTCTGGTGTGAGTGAAACAATCTGCGAGGATGATGCGATGCCAATCACTAACATCCATCGACGTCTTGGACGGTGGGCAGAATTTTTCGAAGGGCAGTTCAACTGGCCTGCTGCTCCGGCAACATCGGTCAGACTGTCCTGCCCTCCATGGCCGGTGACGACTGATCCACCAAACGAGGAGGAAATCCGCAAGGAACTCCAACTCTTGAAGCGTTACAAACCACCTGGCCCAGATGAATTACCACCGGCTCTTTTTAAACATGGTGGTGACTTTTTGACTAAGGAATTGACGACGTTGTTTACAAAGGTTTGGGAACTAGAGAGTGTGCCAACGTCATGGAATGAGTCGATAGTTGTCCCTATCTTTAAAAAGGGTTCACGTCGTTCCTGTAACAACTATACGGGGATAAGTCTACTTACGATTGCGTCCAAGCTATTGGCTTCCGTCATACTTCGTAGGTTGTTCAAAACCCGAGAATGATTGACTCGCGAGGAGCAGGCTGGGTTTCGTTCTGGTCGAGGATGTATTGATCATATCTTCACCCTCCGCCAAATGTTAGAACACCGTCATACTTATCAAAGGTCAACAATCGTAGTGTTTCTTGACATCAGGGCTGCCTTCGATTCGTTGGACAGGACTGTTCTCTGGGATTGTCTATTGAAGAGGGGTGTGCCTGAGAAGTTTATTAACATCCTAAAAGCCCTATATAAAAACACCTCAGGCAGAGTGAGGGCATACAACCACCTTTCTCCATTGTTCCATTCGAGTAGTGGGGTTAGACAGGGTTGCCCAATCTCACCATTCCTCTTCAACTTTGCCATCGATGACATTCCGGAAACAGCTCTGACGAATGTAGGTAATGGTGGTGTGGATCTGTTGCCTGGAGAAAGACTTCTCGACCTTGAGTATGCGGACGATATTGTCTTACTGTGCGATAATGCCCAAGGCATGCAATCGGCACTTAATCAGTTGGCAATCAGTGTCCGCAGGTATGGTATGTGCTTTGCACCTTCGAAGTGCAAAGTACTTCTACAAGACTGGCAGGATTCCAATCCTGTACTCACCCTGGATGGTGAGCAGATAGACGTAGTCGAGAAGTTCGTGTATCTAGGTAGCTGTATAAGTGCTAGTGGTAGCGTGAGTGCTGAGATCAATTCACGTATAGTCAAAGACAGAGCGGCTTATGCTAATCTGGGCCATTTTTGGCGCGTTCGTGATGTTAGCCTGGCTGTAAAAGGTCGGATCTACAACGCGTCGGTGAGAGCAGTTTTGCTCTATGCTTGTGAAACCTGGCCTCTCCGAGTTGAGGACGTTAGACGACTCTCTGTGTTCGATCATCGCTGTCTCCGAAGGATTGCTGACATTCAGTGGCAACACCATGTCAGTAATGCAGAGGTTCGGCATCGTGTGTTCGGACACAGAGACGATAATGCAATCGATGTCACCATCTTGAAACACCGACTTCGGTGGCTTGGACATGTTCTACGAATGTCGTCCCAGAGGATTCCTCATCGGGCATTATTATTTGCCGACTCTGGAACTGGTTGGAAGAAGCGGAGAGGTGGTCAGTGCATGACATGGTGTTGTGGTATGAAAGAAAGCTGAACAGGACTGGGTTCTGTTGGTCCTTCAAGACCCGCTAGTTGGGGTCCTACAGATGATGCAACACAGTATCTTGATATATTATCAGACATGGCTCAGAATAGAAACCAGTGGTGATCCTACTGTAACCTTCTTTTACTTTCTTCATAAAAAGTGGTTCTGTCTCCCTTACCTGAAAGATTTCTTCCGATTGTACCTTTCGTTCCCTGATTACTAGCACATTGCCTTACACCAATCTCTTCGTTATTGTTCTCTCTTTTTTTGTTGCGCTCCTTAGCTTTTTTTTTCTATTTCTCTTCGAATTCTCATTGTTTTGTGTGGCGCATATATATTGGCGCTCTCTTGTACCAATATTCATGTGTCCAAATAAATAAATTACACATGATTCATGGGGTAAATGTCAATATTAAAAAGAAAACACCTTTCTTCTAATCATATATGGATGTAAACTTAGTTTGAAGATGTCTCAATGAATTTGAGAGATTTGTTACACAATTGAATAAGGTAAAATTATATGCACACGAGTAAAAAGTACCTGTCGATACTGAACTCCCCAACTTCGGCAAGAATGGAACGGAGGATGAAGTTTTCGTAGGAGTCGAACGGTTGCTGTTTGAACTAAAACGACTGGAACTTCCAAGTCTTGTCAATTTGCTAACTTGTAGAGAATTCATTGAAAGTTGTCGGGTTTGACTGACAGAATCACTACATAACGTTGGTCCATTGTATGACAAAGTGGTCACTGAGGTTGTGAGGTTTTTGTCAGGAAACGAAAACTGATTTATATGTTGAGGAGACCTCAGAGATAAGGAGTTTTCAAACATACTACCCTCCGAACTTTGTGAAGTGCATTCTGGATAGAAAAGAGAGGGTAAAATGTTAGTAGTCGATTCAGAACCTCTACACTGTGAATCAGCTGTTCTGATGAGGCAGTTAACATCAGGAGGTGTGATAGTAGCATAGCGACGCTGACGAATTCGACCCCTGGTGTCAGTCTGAGGCGACCTGTTATGAAACATACAATTCAAAATCTGTACCGAAAATATAGTGGTATATTATGTACATATACTGAAAGATAAACACCTGAATAAACTACGTGGATTATACATACATTAATTTTTTACAGCATATGAGTGAAAACTGTTATGTCCGAACGAATAATAGACGAATAGTAAGTGCTATGAGTTATTTATGGACTATTATTACGTACGTTCTTATTGGATAATTACTAAACAACTAGACTATATATGTTCGTATTGTTTTTATCATAAGCTTTCATTTGACCTATTAGCTGCTGTTATATGATTTACGATCCTTAACTTATTCTCAATTTCTTGGTCACAGTATCCTATACGCGCAGCCACTCTTAGCTTGATCTCATTATTGTTATTCATTTTATGGTGTGATGCAGTCTGGTCTGTCTGTATATAAACCACGTATGTCTGAAATATACGATTCATATAGCGAAGGCTGATATTTGTATTCTGGACTGAACGGGCTGGGCGATAAGATACCATTCAGAGGACCAATAAGGACATGGAGTTGACTCAAAGCTGTTTGTACTGGTTAACGCATCATTAGTTTAGCACAAAGACAAGGTCATAGAAGTCGATAATGCTGACTGGCGATTTTGTCACGTGCTATTTAACGGGCCATAGGACATAACAGGAACATTTCGTGATAAATAAACAGGACAAGTTCTGGCATTGTAAAAAGCCTAAAATGATCAAAAACCGTTCGTGTTAAACCAACAATTGATAAAAATAGTCATTGAGCCATCCACAACGTAGAACCGGGCAAATATGTTTCTTGGTTCAAGTTACCTTACCGTATTACCACAGCGAGGTAAAGTAACCAAGATAAATATCAGAGCAGAACTAGTGACAGGATCAGTGACATTAGGAAAGATTATGTATAAAAAAGGACACAAGGAGATCTCAGGACTCAGGTTCTAAGGGAGACAGAGTGTAACCACCTGAATTGGTCCAAACGGTTCTAAGCGATGTCATTTAGTCTCTAACCATTGGTTGCGATAGTCGCTCGGACCCCAGCCAGGTCGTTTACAACCACCTACATCGCACAGTTCGATTATCTGTGACTTCATGGACTGACGGCATATCCGGGTTTGGTTGCCCTCAATTTTATTGCAGCCTACTTCTATACCAGACAACAAAGCTTGTCAAGGTGGGTGCTGGTTGGGTATACGTGCCACATGCCCCAGTTACTTCAGTTGATGAAGGTAGGCTACCTCACCAATTAATTTGCCATCTTTACCCAGAACCCTGCGCCTAACATCAACATTACCGACTCGGTGGTCCCAAAATACACGAGCGATGCTGTGGTAACATCTATGATTTGATACTAGTAACCTAAATATATCCTCTTCTGATTAGTCATGTTTCGCACCTTTAAAGAATAGATCAAACTGGTGCACAGTAGACTCATTCTTTGGTTGCGTAACGGGCATTTCGCCAAAGTCACAGGTAACGCAAATTGGCGAAATCAAATCGACATTTCACCATGCCTCAAACCTACCAGGATTAATGAGACTTTTAAAATAATTGAAGCGGTGGACGTGGTTGATTAGCTCACTTTTTATCATTAGTTCAAGAGTTTACACAGACTAGTCCCGAGGCGAAATTCCGCACTTAAAGAGAAAGCGTCGCATCTCGAACATGCTTGCAATGTTATTCGAGATCAGAAGATTGAATTTTGTCAGCGTCGATATTAAGACTTTCCGGAGAAATAACCAGCCCTATCTGTTGTCCAACCTGCATAAGTGTGCGAACGTTGAAGGCAGCCAGTTTGAATGGTGCACGTGGTTTCAGAAAAACTGCTTCAGTATTCGTATTTGGTGGTAGCATACAATTTTCAACCAGGCAGTGACTCGAGAACGTTTAGATAGAACCGAGTTTCCACCATAGGCGAGCTGCTGTATACGTCGAAAAGTAAGGATACATAAAGTGGGAATAAAAGAGAGTGAATAAATGGCGTAGTAAATAATAACAATAATAATGTGAATCGTTTGATTGCTGATCGAAGCAAGACAAGTATTTTACATAAATATCGACATTTCATCATATTTGTGTGTGGGCTGTGATACTGCCCGGGTGCCCAAACCGAAGCAGGTGGTTTTCTTAGGGGGCCACTCCCCGAGCCTTTGACCTAAAGGTCTAACCCACAAGGCAGTGGAGCAACGTAAGGAGATGCAATCCCATGGAAGCCGGTGACCAACGATTGGTTCATACGCCATTTGTTCCCGCAGGATACTGGAGCCCACGTGCACCATTGCTTTGTGATCCGGTTAAAGGGCCGGACATTCGCTTTTCGTCCTCTCATTTTTGTAAACAACACCCCCGCCACGAGAAGTCAGTGAGTAGGACTTCCCTGGCAGAGGCTATATACGTGTGGCCATGTGAGAGCATTTCGAGAGGGAGAGCGGACTCTCCCACTCTCGGCCGTACCAGGGCATTTGGGGGGCAATCAGAATCAGAATCCAGGACTGGGGTCTTTCTGATACGCTACTACACCACAGACAGTATCAGTCGTAATATGAAAGATTAGGCATCGAAGATACGACTCCAAAAGAAAATACAAACCAGTGAAATGAAATGTTGTGGATTTAGAAACTCAAGGCTTGGGAGAAGACAAAGAACGGATACAACTGCACGATTTCGAACGATTTTGAGTCATGTCATTCACAGTCTTTAACTGATGCTCACGATAATCACGCGGACGCCAACCAGGTAGCCTGTACCTATGAACAAGTCCAATTGAAATGTTTGGTCTAGATGAAGATAACACATTGTCAGTATAAAGTCTCGTAAATTTAAGTTCTAAGTCGGTCAGCTTGTCACAACATTAAGAAAAATAAGCTTAAATCCCAGTAACTTAAATTGCCTTGATCATTGTTACCCAGTAGTGTGTATGAACACTCAGAAGAACTGATATCTTGTCCGTAGACAATAACACTTGGTTATTAATTCCTCAAGATTTATCCTCTATGTTTAGTTATTGTACTTTCCTAAAAGCTTCATCGTGTAATATGTTTTGTACATTGAACAAATAAGTGAGAAACTCACAAAAAGTTACCTTCTAGAAATTAACATAAAAAGCTGAATACTGGAACAATTGTGATAAATGGACGGCTCTCAGTGGAATTTTATCAGAAACAATAATTCGCTTAAGGGGATTACAGGTTAAATATACCTTACTTGTCCCGCAGACCAATAATTTCGCAGACGTAAGTAGTATAAAACTTATCGGTGCTATAGGACACAGTATTTTTATGATTAAACGCCACTTATCAGCACGAAAATCTACGTTACAAATGATCACCTTAATAATTACACACTGTGTATGGTTTAGTAATTTATCGACCAAATACTAAATCATAAAGTTATTGATTTCAACTAATGTTGCCGACTTTAATTCAATCAGCTGGACTTCATCTTCATAGGCGGGTCCTAGCTAAAGAAATTCAACTAACCGAGTTCCATATTATTATAAAAATTAACGATTCGTGCTTTATCAAAATCAATATAAACTGACTGTGAAAACAAAAAAGGAAATAAATTATGAAAACGCAAAATTAAGTGCAAAACACCTATTGAAAGTGTACTTTGGGAAATCAGATGCATCTTTCAAACAGTTCAGTGACGAAGTATGTAGATTTGACAGATGATTTCTGTTGATTTGTGAGTTCGTCCATGGAAAATCACAGGAATTAGCAGCGATTTCATTAACATGCTCGGAATTTTTTCCCCAGTTGGCAATGTCTAAGACAGTAGGAAAAAGTAGACCGTTCAAACGATTAGGAAAATTCATGGAAAACTGAGAACTATAGTACTTGGTTCAGCCTGTGGAAACAGCAATTGAGATTACACTTATCACATAACAGAACACGTAGAAGTTGGGAAGTAGTAGTTAAGTTGAAATTAACCAATTAGCAATGAACACCATGTTACCACGAGTTTGGAAATCTGATGATGAATGCGAGGAACAAACTATTTACACTAAAAGCCAGTAATCTACAAAAACTTAACAGTAAATATAATCAGTCTTAATAGAGTGGTTAGTGATCACACTACATGTAATAATTTAGAGCTTAGTAGGAAAACATCTAATTTACAAAGCAATTTAAATTTGCTTACTATTCATTATCAATCCAGATATATCGTAAAAACTCCAAAGGGAACTCACTTGAATGATAACCGTAAAACAACACACATTTTCTACTGTCTAAACTTACACGGTTTACTCAAAACGGAAGTTAACAATTAGGCATTTTAGATTAACAGAATCGAGGAGGCATACCATGATACTGATCTTCAGCTGACGTTTCTTCTTTACACATAGAATATTTAGTATTTTGTGTATTTTGATACCAGTTTTGCTTCCTCAGACGAACGCTTTTCATTTGAGTCTTCAGACGTTTTACTTTTTCTGCAAGCTCGTTACACTCTTGAAGCCGGACAAAAACTTCGGCTTGAACGATACTATTGATTGCAGTCTCCAAAGCTTCGCAACTAATAGAGTGCGAATGATTAAATCCACAATTACAGGAGTATGATTGATAGCCAGTAGATACGAGCGGTGGACTGTCATCATCCTGATCAGTATCAGTTTCAAAATTAATAGAAGCAACCGAGTCAAGCTCTTTGTCGAACCATTCACTGTCTAAAAATGAGAAACGTATTGAGGAATTTTGTTCTTCACTTTCTTCCGGTAAGGGAGAAAATTCTCTGCGCGATTGATGTGGACAACGAGGTCCATCACAGCAGCGAATAGATGTTCGATTGGGAACAACCTTAGCCAATAGACTAGCAAGGATATTCGCTGTTGTGGAATTAGTTGTTTCCGTATTGCTACAATTATCAAGATCGCCAACACCATTTACCTGATTTTCTTTGTACATTCTTTCGATGTTCAATTTATATTCTCCAAAATCACTGACGGTCGAGGTTTTCGATTCCCGATCCTGTTTGTGAAAAGGAGGAGGAACATGAGTATCACATGAAACCCAAATAGATGGATGATTTTGTTGATTTAATGCAGAAGAGGATTCAGAATAATGAACTGACGGTGAAAATGGAGACGAATTCGAGGATTCAGGAACGCTTGAATGATTGTTAACTGCTACAGTTATCGGGATACTTGCTTGTTCAGTTAAGGCATTTAAGGTTTCTTTTTCAGGAGAGGATAAACTTCGATTTCTCTCGGAAATGTAAGTAGTTTCCGTAATGTTTCTATTCAGTGGGCTTATTCCAACGACCACTTCTAAATTTGGAGGACTTTGACCAATGTTGTTTGAATTTTGCTCTCTTAACCCAGAACTAGGTCAAAAACAAGTAAACAACAAACGATTGGTATGGACTGGATAACAAGAATTCGTATAACTATTATAATAATAAGGTAGAACTTTGGCAACATAATGTTCACTACTATGTCGGTAAATTCGAACATATATAGTTATTATGAGATAGATTCTTCTACGAACCCTAGTGGTATCAGGTCAAAATCATTAGCTACTATCTGCTCAACTTTTTATGTCATACAGTTCCGATAGTAAATTGCATTTGGAAACTAATCAGAATCCAGGACTCGGGTCTTTCTGTTACGATACTATACTATACAATTTTTTTCCATTTTTAAAAATAGAACAAAACATAAGTAAGAATAAAAAATATCACGGGGACTGTAAGATGCAACGTGACTATTGTCATTTCCGCGCACGGTACTAAGGAAAATTAGCGGGAAAGTACTGTTTTTGAAGTATGAGAATAATAATCTTAGTAAGAAAAAGCAACCAAGAACAATATAAATTCCACTTCATATTGTTTGTATCAAACATAATTAGGAGTGCTTTTGTCATTATCAACTCGACAGACACTCAATACCATGAATGATTGCAAAGGGGAAGAATCCAAACACACTAGTTCACAGCAATATGTCACACCCCTCTGATGGCTTGCCACGTGAAACAAGTTTGAAACACGAAATGAGACATACATTACCAATCTAGTGATTTATAACATTTCTCAAGATTCACCAATCAAAAACTGAGTGTAAACAACTGGTATTGTAGAACTGAGCATAAATTTCATGATAAAATAACATCTGATTTCCAAGAAAAAACCAATTTAACTTTGTGAGTCGACAACATGAGAAATTTACAGTACTTTAAAAAAAGCTTCATAAATGATAGTGATTAAAACTACCTTAATGGAGTGTCGCTATTAACAAAATTCTGAAAAGCATCTGTGAAACTAACATCCATGGCTTTCTGTGCTACAGAAGACGAAATACTACTGGATTCTGATCGAACATCTACCGAAAGATCAGGTTGTGATTCCAATGCACTATCGTTTGGTAACACACTATCAGTGTTGGCTTCGTCTATTTCGTACCATTCTGCACCAGTTTGTTTTGATTTGTCCAAAATCAAGTCAGAACGTCCTCCATTTTCAGTGTTTTGCGATTGCAATATATTCGGTTTTATCACTGGAGTTAAGAGGTTTGAATACACGAAACTACTGCCACAGGTAGAGCTGGACACTGAAGTAAAGGGTGGTACAGTGGTTTTTGATGGGTGGTTTGCTGCCAGACGTAGCGGTGGCGTCCGACGCTCAATAAGTGGACCACTTCGAAGACTTAAAACTAGACACAATGTTGAACCCTCAGATATGGAATAATCTCTTAGTCGACGATGATTATCCAATTCGCAATTTCGCCAAACAAGGTGTTGTTGATTTATTGGAATACCTGGGACAAGAAATTCATAACATAAACATCGAAAATTTTCAGAAGAGATCCAGAGCAAAGTCAATAATACTCTAACGAAGAAAATAAAATTGCAAAATGTTTGAGCCCAAGGAATAATTACAGTTTAGATATGCTGTAATAAACCTTCTTCTACAAAAAGTGTGGAGGAAAAGACTAAGATAGTCAGCTCGAGTTCAATTATCGTGAAAACAGCGTTTAAACACATTTTAGGGACTGCAGATTGCGTAGTACAAGAGAAGGAATACATGCACAGCTTGTGCTAATTTCACTAATATTATCTTATCTTTTCAATGGACGTTTTTTCCTTTGCTTGCATTATACTGCTCGTGTTTTGCTGCTTTTTAATTTCCCCCATGTTATCCGGGTAGTAGCGTTTGGGACGTTATCCCCAGATATAAATCTTTTTCTGCCAGTTTGTATATTACATTTACTAAGATACACATCGAGTTTAAATTCAAAAACAAACAACGTTAACAAATCTTGTCAGCAAAAGATTTCGCGATCCACTTTTTTAACCTACTTATTCTATGTGCTGTTTAAAGTCATCGATGCCCTACATCTACAATTTTAGCCTTAAATTAGCATTAGTAATGAGGACCTGTTATGACACGAATACCGTTATGCTATCAATATACGTATATACGAAACTTACAAAAAGATTAGCATTTGGATTCGATAAAAGGCGTTCACCGTCGACCTGTTCCGTATTGGGACAAGACCGCAGTCTAGTAATCCCTGATTATTGGCTTACCATCTGATGTCGTCCCCTCGACCGTTGCTGCCACCTTGACGTGATGGTCGGGCTTGCCTGTCGTGATGAACCAATCGAGCTATACTGGCCGGAATAATCACTCCTCATGGTCCTACTGTGCCAGACAGGTCGGCTGAAGAACGGTAAGACTAAAAGCAGCAAGGTCCGATGGCGAAGTCGTACTGCTGACTGTGCAGGTGTGATGGCAGTAAGGTATTTCCTTCAGAGAACCCGCATAACAGCAATGCTGCCTTCCCACAAGGAGGGATGGGGTTATAAAAGGCCCACCCTAAAATGCACACCTTGCCTTATCCCACGGATATCCGTCTCCGGCGGTAAGGTCTCAACCAGTACGAAGCTGACACGAAAATCACTTACAAAAACGTCGTGTGTGACCGACCACAAGCAGTTATCCTTTGGGCACTGCGGTCAAGCGCTCAGGTCACTAAGACCACCTTTAATCCAATTTCCTTTTCAGGTACATCCAGAAGAACCCTTCCACGGTATAGGCAACCGGAAAGTGCCCGAACACCGTTTACCACGACGCGCAATGCTGACTAGTGTTGGGGATGGTTGGAAGAGAATTAGGGGCGGCCAAACTGAAACATTGCATCAGTCCTTGAAGTCAACAACTTCTAGTCTGAGCTATATTGGTATATATATTACCATATATTACCATCATTGAATTAACTACTTTTATGAATTCGTTGTTCATCTTGTTGTACTAATGAGGAATGGCAACTTGGACCGATGCATATATGTGCCTAGTCCTACGTTGTAGCTGACTGACTGGTGTCATCCCCTAATGCAAACCACCTTCATCAACCTCTTAATCGAACAAGGATTGATATTAACTACGGATAAACGAACAGTTTTATCATAGTGAGTACAGTTATTCCGCGTTTACCCATACACATTAATAAATCTAAGATCACAAAATCTACGTGGTCGAAGACATACAATTTAAGGACGAATTGGAGCATCGTGACCGTAACTTCTTTAACTAAAAGGATTTTTTTCTGGTTGTACCCGATTATTATTATTTCACTACCATACACTAATTTGTGGTCGTTATTGTTCTTTTTTTGTTGTTCGCCAAAGCAGTTAGAAACCACTGAGTGAATATAAACATTTACTAATGTTTACAAACAGACAACGTACGACCCGGTAGTGATGTGTCCACACTTCACAGCAACACAAACGTGAGACCGTGATATAAAATAGACAAAACAAATAACATAAGATATACATGGAAGAGGATAAAGCTTCGGACGAAATGTAATGAAATAATACTATGCTAACCCAATTTGTACACCGAAAGGCGGACGATAGGCCGATAGTTAAATGACTAGATACTTGCGACAAATACAATACCTAGTTGTACGATCACGAATGAACACAGGACAGACAGCTAAGTGATACTCAAGTACACTGGCATACAGACAATTTGTGATAGATAGCCTTTGACTCAATGCACAAATTTTGTATCACAGAGTTAAAAATAGATTGGAACAAATTTGATCTAATAAAGTAATTGGTAATTCCAAGATAAGTAATAAGCATGCCTAACTACGCTGTCTGAAGCGTAACTAGAGGTTGACATAGACCAGTACTGGGTCAATAACAACGTAGAACTTCGTACGTCAGTAAGTCAGTGATGTTGTTAGAAGTATGAGGGCGGTTATCTTTCCGGTTGCCTATACCGTGGAAGGGTTCTTCTGGATGTACCTGAAAAGGAAATTGGATTAAAGGTGGTCTTAGTGACCTGAGCGCTTGACCGCAGTGCCCAAAGGATAACTGCTTGTGGTCGGTCACACACGATGTTTTTGTAAGTGATTTTCGTGTCAGCTTCGTACTGGTTGAGACCTTACCGCCGGAGACGGATATCCGTGGGATAAGGCAAGGTGTGCATTTTAGGGTGGGCCTTTTATAACCCCATCCCTCCTTGTGGGAAGGCAGCATTGCTGTTATGCGGGTTCTCTGAAGGAAATACCTTACTGCCATCACACCTGCACAGTCAGCAGTACGACTTCGCCATCGGACCTTGCTGCTTTTAGTCTTACCGTTCTTCAGCCGACCTGTCTGGCACAGTAGGACCATGAGGAGTGATTATTCCGGCCAGTATAGCTCGATTGGTTCATCACGACAGGCAAGCCCGACCATCACGTCAAGGTAGCAACAACGGTCGGGTTGGAAAGAGAAAAAAGAACAGGAAGAATTCAGAAGATTAAAATTTGGGAGAACACAGTGGATGCACCTTCGCCATTGCAAACGATTTTGAGCCATGTCATTCAGGGTTTCTAACCATCGGCTTCTATAATCTCGCGATCCGCAACCACGTAATCTGCAGCTACCGACATGGCTCAGTCCACTTGTCAGTGACTTCAGAGATTTGTACCAGTATCGAAGCAACAAACCAATTCGTCAAGGTGTATAGTAAACTTTGTCACTAAGGTATTTAATACATGGGAACTTTTTCACTGTGGGAAGTGATTTGGATCAAACTGCTCTTTGGAGTATTACTGATGCATGTAGACGCACTTTAAGTGACACCAATCTACAGTAAAGACACCTTGTAGATGTTGGGTGACATATCACAAACATTCGGTAACTTAGAAGACTCTAACTTACCTAATACCACCGTTTTCACTTTTTCGATAGAATAGACTGGGGTTATAGAAGGAACTGGAACATCAAAACGAGTGATGTGCGCAGATTATCACTGATAATCATCCAGAGGAACAGAAATGGCAAGTCACGAAAATTCTGGTCCGTTTATATGGTGGAAAACGCTGGTCCGTAAGGCACAGTATACTATGAAATAGCCACTAAACAAACCCAAAAACCGACGCGAACAGATTGAATAGATATGCGCACAAAAGTTATCGCACAAAACAAACAGATGCAGAAATTAGTATACTTACCTTCAGTCCTTTGAATTTGAGATTTGACTGATGTGATAGTTTCAGTAGGGGAAACGTGCAGTTCAAAAGACAAACCCGTTAGTGTTTTGACAAAGATACTCATAGGCATTATTATTTTGAAAGCAAGCTGAAACCAAAGACAATGTACAACTGATGAGCAATACAATGCGGGCAAATGACCTTCATACAGTCGAGAGACCGAGTCTAACCGTCACTTTAATTTTCCTGCCAAATGCAAGCATGTGACGATAAATACCATGAGGTTGTATATCAGCCCTACAATGTTCAATTTGCACAGTGCTGAATATTTTTGTGAGTTTGTCGTTCATGAAGAGTGTGGTTTCTACCCGTAAGGCCAAATTTTATACTGAAGATCGGATTTGAAACTCAAACCTCCATATTATTTCTTTTTTGATCTGAATGTGTTTACAAACAGAGTGTAGCGGTAAATAAATCCCAAAAATAAATAGCTCTGTCAGTTTTCGACATTGGATGCTGACCAGATGAGTTTTAGTGGACTCATCTAGCTGAAGGTTCTCGGTCATGGATCCGTACCAGATCACGTGTGGTAACGCTGTGCTCAACATCCACCGCAATCGCTAGCCAGATTAGATCAGATAATTCCGATATATTGGTAATCGCCAAATACACTCTTCCGATCTCCTCGACTCTGTCTTTTGGTTTCTCTTGGTGGGTACGTATTATATTAGGAGGTGTTGCTGGTAAAATCGTTGTCAAACACTGAATACCTGTACCATCATCAGGAGCTTCATTAATATGTTGTGGCAATTAGTTCCATTCATTGATGACTCGACGGAAAAGTCGACCGTCAGTTGATAAGTTATTTCTTCTTGGCTTGTGAAGCTCACCACAGTGTCTTAATACTAGAGATGCCACAGGTGTTCGGAGTTTGACAACGCTTTTACACATAACATCTATATGAACAAAGTTTATTAACCGAGTCAAACTAGAAGTCAGAAGCGAAGAGGTTCGAAGATATATTTGACAGAATATCGATATACCGAGTAGTAAATAATCTAAGCTGGCTAGCGGTTGTAGGATATGTGGGTCTCAGTGTACTCACTCGTGATCTGGTGCGGATGCGTGACCGAGAGCCTTGAGCTAGGTAAGTCCATTAAAACTAATACGATCAGCATCTATTATCAAAGAACTACAGAGATAATGACTTTGGGGATTTATTTACTACTGTAGCTCACTCCCTTTCTAGTGGAGAATTGGCGACTCTAAGACTTAGCCAGTCATAAGATTAAAACCAACGAAATAGTCGTTGGTAAACATTCATCTGATAGCTTGTTATTCCCAGCAGCGTCTGGTCGTCCTTCCTTGCTATAAGGGGCCATGTGGTACCGTATAATCATGGAAAACAGGTACGATGAAAACTGCAACTCATCGTAAACTTCGTTGAATCATTGCCCTTTCCATAATATAAAGGTATATGTAATTGAATGTCAAATTACATCCGTATGTGTGCAAAGACACAAAACAGGCAAAGAGCGAAATAAACTCACATATATGCGTTTTGCAAACATGCAATGGAGTGAAAACGATTTTAGCAGAACATTCTTTTTGAGGGTGTTTTTGAAAAAGTAAAAATAGACACATAAAAGCAAACATATTCACAGCGACAACAAAATATTGTTTTGTTTTGTTTTGGAATAAAGACAACAAATATATATGAGCACATTAAAAGTGGTTTGTTTCATTTTCCGACACAATACAGAAAAAATCTAAATGATGCAAGGTGTTGTGTAGTGTCTTGTATGCGGTGGTTAGGATTGATGCCACTACTATGTCTTCTTCTTGAAGCTGGACGAGCTTAAGAAGGTCGATCCCTTAGGAACCGTTCAAAGAAATCTCACGGGACAGTGCACCCAAAGCCACATTGTTTGCCTGAGAAATATGTTGTGTTTTTGAAGTAAACTGTTCAGTGTAGTCCAGTTGTCGAGAGTCTCGAGGGGAGTGCTTGTCTGAGGATGAGCATACAGAGAAGCGAAGAGGTTTGTTATCGGTGAGGAGAGTGAATTCCTATCATCTTACAGAGTGGTCAAAGTGCCGTACAGTACAATACACGACCAGGAGTTCCCCAACGAAAGTGCTATAACTTCGTTCGTTGTCTTGCAACCGTCTTGAGAAGGGTTGCCAGGTGTGATTACCCCTTGTTTTAAGACTGCTTCGATTACCGAGTCGAATGTGTCTGCTGCGATACTACTGGTTGCTTCCGTGTCCTGGTGTGCGAGCAATGTTGCTTTGGCTATAAGTTCCTTAACTGTGGGGAATCCTTTTTGAGCAATGTCGTACAAATTGATGGGCTCCTCATTTTCACGAAGTTGGTCGGTTTTAAGTCTGATGAGAGACGCGCAATTCGGTATGAATCGTTGACAGAAACTTACTAAGCCATTGAACGTACATACTTGTTTGACTGTGGTTGGTTCTGAGTAATCCAAAATGGCCGCCACTTAGCTCTTCAGAGTGCGGATACCGTAAGCATCAATAGTGTGTCAGGGAAAACCTAGAAAGCTGGCTCCAGTTCGACATTTCTAAATGTTTTCATCAATGCCGTGTTTTTGCAATCGTTCAAAAACAAAGTACGGATGCTGAATATGAGATTCTCTGTCCAGACTTACGGTTAAGCAGTGACCCACATATGTGGGCATAACATTGAAACTTCTAAAACCGTCATCTTCGTATTTCTGAAAAGTTTATGAAGCCTTCCTTAAACCGAAGAGCTTGCATCAAGTTCCATAAAGTTCGGAGGTGATGAAGGAGGTCTCACGGACGTCGTCAGCAGACATGGAAATTTGGTTATGTGCTCCAACAGGATCAATTTTTCGGAAAACACATTTGTACCTTTTAAGATAATGTCCGGTGGTGAATGTGTAGCAACAGGTAATGATCAGAAGTGGTTCTCGTATTCAGTCACTGGTAATTTGCAGTTGGACGACAACTATTACTGTCCTTTTTAGGAAACATGTGCAAGGAGATGCTCCTAGACTGTTCGATGGCCAGATAATTCCCATGTCTACTATGTACTGGAATTTGTTTTTGGCCAGCATTAGCTATTTCGGAACTAGTCGGCGCACTTCCGAAAATACAAGTATTCCTGTAGTCACGTTGTTGTGTGCAACATTGCTGGTTACACGTGGCAGTTCTGGTCACGTTTTGTGCAGATTGAAGTACTTGTCGAGTATCCGTTGATTGTTTGGATCGATTATGTGCTTGGCAGTAACAGAGGACAATCTGTAATTGAAAAATGAAGTTACATGAACACACAAATTAGTGTTTCCATCTACTAATCTATGTTTGGGCATGTCAATAGATAGAGCATGGTGTTGTACCAGGCCCATACCAGTGATTAGCATAGAAACACATGCAATAACGAAGATCAAGCGGATGGATTTTTGTAAACTCACATCAAGATGATTATATAGATTATCACATGAAGTAGTCGGTTTTCCATTAGGTGACAGTTGGTTGAAAACCGGTCCATTCAGTCGGTAGTTAGGATTTTCACGGCCCGTTGATCAATGACCTCTCGCATACGTAGCAGCATATATGTTGCTGAGTTATGTTGCAGCTCGATATTGTGGAAAGGTTGATCTAACATTTGTCTCTTGGTTACGTTTCCACGTTTAAGAATAGCATTCTTCAAAGTTTCGTAAAATTCCGAAACACCACTAGTAAGCTTATTAGGGGTAACGCATCTGTTAAAATCACGCAGTAGTGCCTTCGTCACTGGGAGGAATTGTGGACGTGGGTCTGTCACGCCATGCGCGCCGAAATCCGCTTCTGCGTCGAAGAATCGGGCTTCCATATTGTCGGACCACAATGGCATGAATTGAAACGTGGGGGGCGGAATAGTCTTTATCCTAAAAAGCTTAGGTGCCCATTCGTCATAATCAAGGTATAATATACCGATGGGAGAGAAACAAATAAACAAGAATATGAAAACAATATCACAATATGTAAAAGTGAGATAAAAAAGAAATGTAATGTTTCAACAAGGCATGAATTCATAGTTTACTATTTGATGCACCGAATTCTTGAACCATGATGCACTCTCAAGTGCATAGCTGCATCTACTCTATTCCAGGAAATTCATGTAAATTTTGAAAATCATTTCAAGGCTCCAAATTGTTACGTTCATTTGTAATCTCTCCTCATATTTTGATATCTTCAGCATGCATCAAAATGGACGATTTCAGGAGACTAAAAATTTTGATGGTGTACTCAAATGGTTCAGAGAGTTTTGAACGGAATAGAAGGAGATTTCGCCCAACGGGCTTCCGAGTCTAGTATCAGTGGATCACCAACACCCCAAGGCAGAAACACATGCATAATAACTAGATACAATAATACCCAGAAACAAAAGAAATCGATGACCAAAAATAGTGAACACTGCAAATGGTTAGAACCAAAAGTTTTAGCAAATACAATAGAAACAAAGTACTCAAAAGTACCGACAACAAGTTAATTTAGAAAGAACGATAATCTTAAAGAATACTTTAACTGAAATAAATTCAATTCAAGTGTAAACAGCAGTCTTTATACATAATAAACGATCAAAACAATAAAATTTACTCGAAGAGGAAATATACCACTGTCCTCTTTAAATAGAGCTATTTGCAAGCGATTATAGAATATTTAGACAAGGAATATCCTAGGTAGTACCGGAAGTACGAGGCAATATACAATTTATTAGTGATTCGGATTGGAAGCCTGACCTTGTTCATCATTAAAGAAACTGGCTTTATAACTGTTAAAGATTTGTTCACAATAATCTCCTATCTCTTCACTTGCCTGTTGTGAGTTTACGTTTTCTACAATACAACCAAACTGTACTCATCTTGCATGTCCAGATTTGTTAAGCACCTTCTGAAGGTCATGCGAAACGAGTAGGGTTTGTTACCATCTGCCGTCTAAACCATTCATATATATCGACCAAAAGCTCAGGAAACTGTAAGCTTGACCACAAGCATTGGACATTTTCTTGCTCACACAAGTAAGCAGTCCCTAGAACTTCATGCCAATGTATTTACTGATATTAAGTTATTTTCGGAATTTAATACGATCTTCAACTTAATGCGTATA